GGTTTCTATTTTAATATCCTTTAAAATATAATTTATTTCTGTGATGCAAAGCTGAATTTCCATCAGCCATTACTCCAGAATAAAGTGTCACATGATCCTTAAGAAATCAGTCTAATATGTTGATTTATTATTAGAGTTATCAATGTTGGCAACAGTTGTGCTGCCAAATATTTTTTTTTGAAACGGTGATACTTTTTTCAGGATTCGTTAATGAATAGAAAGTTAAAAAGAACAGCATTTATTCAAAATATAAATCTTTTCTAACAATGTAAAGCCGGGACGATTATCTCACCTGCTTATCGCTGACGTTTTTCGACGCGTCTTTTGTGTTCATACCAAGCGGCAACCTCCCGCTCTCTCTCGTGAAACCAACACAGAAGTAACTTAAACCGAAATTCATCTACTGGCTATATAAGATTTTTAATATAATTGCACACCAAGGCTGCATTTATTTGATCAAAAATTCTGTAAAAACAGTAATATTGTGGAAAAATGATTGCAGTTTAAAATAAGTATTTTCTATTGTAGTATATTTTAAAAAGCACCCAGCTCCCGCCTCTTTGCCCATTTTCGATTATCCGGGAGTGACGCGCGGTGACACGCTGCCAAGATGGGGACGGCCGGCTCCGCCCACTTGAGCTTCAAAACCGCTCTTCAGAATCCTATGGGTGACGTCATGGACACTACGTCCATGTTTTTATGCAGTCTATGGTTCATACCCAAGCGATTTTCGCTGGCGATGAGCCGAGTGAATGTGCAAATTCACTCCCTGACATTAGATGGCGCTTAATGAAAAACAGAAATACCCCGGTACACATCGAATCCTATTTGATCTGCAATTCCTCTCCATAACAACTCCCTCTTATTGAGATTTTTGTAGTCGCTGTCGCGTTTGTCATAAAGCCCTTTGTGTTCAGACACCAATGAGACCAGCAGCTCTACATTCATCTTGCCTCGATGCATCTTCTTGGTCTACTTACTTCCTCTTCGTCGTTAGGTATCAATGTGTGCTCGGCACAAAATTTATAAAGTCTTTGGTGGTTTGATACACCAGAGCAAATACGAAAATCTGAACGGCTATTTGAAAACATGTAAAAACTGCC